TTTCTTAAATATTTAGAAAACTATGGGGTTTGGCGAGAAAAGTACCATATCCAAAATAATCTACATTAAATCTTGCTCAAGTCAACGATTCCAGAGTTACGGAGGGTGTAAAAGTAGGCATTTTTCGTATTTTTTCGATTTTCTGGAAAAATGAAATCATGTTTGAAGTAAAGAACACTGAAGATCTGGCTTGTTTTCGTTACCAGTGTTACTTGCGAGTTATTTCAAAGCATCCTATAAATTCACTGTTCAAGTTGGCTGCGCTTCTCCCCACTTCAGCAGCTACCAGGTAGAACATTCATTTAGAACTTACCATCAGGTGCAGCAATGGCTGCATGAGAAGAAGAACCCGATGAAGTGGGAATGCAAGATTGTCGAACACCTGAGAGCAATAACAACACATCCTGCAATTCCCCAGGGATTACTGTCCCTCATAGTGGAAGTCTCTTGAAAAAATGGCCCCCCTTGAGAAGGTGGTAAGGTTATCGTTCCTTCAAGGACTTATCAGTAACATACCACCGGTCACTAAAGCGCAATTTGTTTTAACCGGTTTTAACAAAAAAAATAGTTTCCTTAGTGCAAATCTCATATTTTTTTCAAAAGAATCTAAAAAAAAGATGAAAAATTTCTACTGTTACACCCTCCGTAACTCTGGAATGGTTCAATTTAGCAAGATTATATATGAGGCCATTTTTGTTCGCAATTTACTGTAGATTATTTATTTTATTTTGCGCTAAATAGTATAGTTATTTAAATATTTAAAAAAAACTTATCACAACTACTAATTTTCCAACATTTACTTTTATTCTAAGTGGTTATGTTTCAAATTTCATTTGAATGCCTCCATAAATAAGAAAGTTGGCACTGCGCATGCGCAAAATCAAATTTTGAAACTAGCGTTATATTTGCTTTTATTCCAAGTGGTTATGTATCAAATTTCATTTAAATCCTTCATAAATAAAAAAGTTTGCAATTCGGTTTATAAATGGTCGAAATGCGAAAAGAGCATTGTGAATGTTGATCGATTAGGCTCAATTTTTGGAATTGCGTTTTATATGGCTAAAGCTATACGCATATTGAATTTCATGCAATTCGGTTCATAACTCACGGAGATGTCAAAAGGGCCTTCCTTATTTTTTGGGTTACATTGCCAGTTCACGAACTCCGATCTACAAATTTGATAAAGAATCTCGACCACCTAAATTATAAACTCGCTAGGAGCTCGTTAATAAATGATAATTTTCTTCCATGGGGATCGTGGTCCCCATTACACTGACTGACCGCGTTACCTGCACGTTGTATGACAATACTGAAATTTGTCGTAAGTAAGTGGTAGCTCGGGGTTCCCCAGTAATATTGGTAATGCGTTTTCCCAGGTATTCCACAAAATTTTCGAGCTTCTCTACACCAAGGTGCCAATGTCTCTACTGCGAAAGGTATAAAAATCTGGTTCTGTTCTATAATAATTGAACTGTATTTCCTTATTTTAATACTTGCCGCAGATTCAGCTACCACACCACTCGTTTTACTAGAAAATTAATCCAAAATATTTCAGTGGTGCCAAGTCATAAAGCTAGGAAAAACTGTCCCAGACTACTTGGGTGTGGCGCCTACTCTTAAGATTTTGACTCTATCTGGGAGATGTCAGCAAAACACAAAATAGCAAAATTGTACACGAAAAAACAAACCGGTGGTATTATAAAAAAAAAGAACCCCCACAATGTTGGGGATTGGGCGCCAGCTCTGCGCTACGTTTAAAGAACACAGCGCAGCGCTTGCTTTTGGTAGTCATCGAACACAATGGTGGTGTTAGAGGCTAATAAACCACCCCCAAAAGTTAAAGGCTTTTTGCAAAATTTATAATTGCGCTAGGATAACTTGAGCGCTAGGTCTACAGAACAGAAAACATCAAATTTTTACCCGAAAAGACAAAATGGTGGTGCCCCCTCCCCCCACACCATTGGAGGGTGATGACAGCTCTAAAATTTGTGGCGCTAGCTGGCGCTAGGTCAGCAAAACACAAAACGTCAAAATTTTACCCGAAAAAACAAAATGGTGGTGCTAGGAAAAATTGCCCCCTGCACTATTGGGGGGTGGCGCTAGCTCTAAAATTTGTGGCGCTAGCTGGCGCTAGGTCTGACGAACACAGCGCTTGCTTTTGGAAATGATCGGACGCAATGGTGGTGCTAGCGTTAACATAGCACCCCCCGAAAATCAAGGGCTTTTCTGCAAAATCTATAATGGCGCTAGCTGAACTCAAAGTGGCGCTAGCTGGCGCTAGCCATAGAGATTCTAGCGCAATCTGTCTTTAGTCAAAAATTTGAAATGGTGGTGCTAAGTTAACGGAGCCTGTAAAAGGTAACGTTTCTACCATATCTATGCCATTATCTATAATTAATGCATTATCGCTGTCATGTCGGCACGGTAGCCCTTCTACACTTAATGTGATCACGTCTAATATTTTTTCCTCGTAATCTGTGTAAGGAGTACCTTCTGGCTTTCCACCGCCGGTTTTATAAATTATCAAGTTTGTTTTTGGCCTTTTTTGCTTTTATTTCCCTCTTAAGGCAGTCATACTTTAACCTTAAATTTTTCGTGTCTCGATGATTAGAACTTTCATTTTGAGAATTAAATTCCGCCGTTATTTGCTCCCAAGTAGTGTTTTTCTCTTTCCATGTCACAGCGTCCGTTTTTTTATTCTCCAGTATACTGCTATACTTCAAACAAATGTCCGTTAAAAGACGCACCTCCTTCTCACTAAAATTGATGGTCCGCTGTTTTTTTGTCGCCATTTAGAAATAACTAAAATATACAAAATAGGTAATAATTTATTGCATAACAGTCACAATTACTTACATCGTAATTTATTAAATTAATCAAAGCTTCTCATTCACCAGTAATTTGAATTGCATATAGGTTAAGTTGTCCATCAAATGTCAATAAACCACTATTTCACTCCAACTCATGCATGCATTTCTATATGACCATCTTTTTTTAATGATAACATCTTAAAATCAGAATTGCCAACTTTTCCATTTTGGGTAAGATGAGAAATTAGGTACCTAATATTTGTTAGGCAGATAAATAACAATGGAACTCCATGTTATTATTTATTAGCTAATAAATACACTATTCTCCTAATAGTTAATAGGTAGTTTATAAGGAGTTGGATATCTCGGCCCTAAATGTTTGGTGCTACTAGGGAGGTACCTAATTATTTTCCGAAATATTTCATGAATCATCATTTAAGTATATTACAACCTAACAAACCAATAAACAAGCAACGTGGTTTTCAGCTTAGAAAAAGAAAAAATAGGTATTGGGACTTGTGCGCTCTATAGAAGCGTTGTCTTTTTGCCCAAAAAAGGTTATTGGATGGATTCTATAAGGCCGTGTGTGCGTTGATTTTTTTGCTCCAAGGAATGTTGGAAATCTGATCGATCTAGTATTCGGGTCGAAAAATAATGGGGGTTCAGATTTTGTACGAATATCATATCATATCTTCGGGAACACCTTCAGATCGGGGTTACAGCTTGTTCGGTCAATACCTATTTTTTTTTAACAAATATAGATAAAGTGTACCTATGGAAAGCGCAAAAAATTGGCAGTAATTTGATAGGTATCCATATGTTATTGTGCATAACCAATTACTAGTAATACTGTTTAGACGTTGGGTATGAACGAGGGTATGAAGTACCACTTGTAGCGATGAAAATTTGTACGGCTGCGAGGCGGTTTAGACATTTTCCCAAGCAACAGTCTGGAGTGATACGAAATCATCAATTGTCATATTTCAATCAGGTTTTATAATTTGAGCCATTTTATTGCTTCTGTCACGTTGATTGATAGATGCATCTATAGAATAGTAAAAAAGTAAGCTTTTAAAAAATAAGATAGAAGTTTTTGTATAAAAATTTATTTATCGAATTCATTCCAAACTTTACGGGCTCACTATATTTATTCGTTACTTCTCAATAAAATGATTCAGTATTATTTCCGTTATTCGACACCAAACGTTGTGGCTAAAGTATTTGGTTTCCAAACGTTTTATCTGGGGTGAACAAAAATTTATTAATACATTCTACATTTACTTTCGTAATGTACAGGGTGCCTGAAAAACAAAAACGTTATGTTCTTATATCATAGGTTAAATCTCAAGGTTTTTGAAAAAGTTAGATACAATTTTATCTTTTTAAAGGTACGGTTTTGCTGGCACCGTCGACGGCCGCCGTTAGCATGGTTTTCTTGCACTATTTTAAACGGGCCAAGGAAACCGCGTCCATAATAAATATCGAGATGCAGTGCTTCTGTCGACGGCTCCAGCGAAACCGTACCTTAATTCTCTATATCTGTTTCTGCTTTTTAGACCAATTTCACATGTAGGTTTTCTGCTGCTGCCAAAATTAATTAACGAGTAGCAGTCGTCAAAAAATTGTGAGTAAATAATTGAAAGTGTTTTAATCAGTAAATATAATGTTTTCCTGAAAAACGTGAGTATAAGCAGATACAGCGCCACCAAGCACCACGTGAAAATATATGCCAACTAATTTTTAGCGTATTTTCCTGAAAGTGAAAAACCGATATTGGGTTCATTTATAATATAATTTAAGAAATGTATGTACTCGTATATTTAAAAGGGCTTGGTGCAAGGATTCCATGCGCACCGATATTATGTGGTTTTACGCATGCGCAGTGTCACAAATTTGGTTTACCGCATGCGCAATGCTAATTTTTTTATTTATGAAGATATATAAATGAAACTTCATATGTATAAACACTACGAATACAAGTAAAACTAACGACGTTTTCAAAATAGTTTTGCGCAAGCGCAATGTCAACTTTATTATTTATGAAATCGTTTTGAAATGAAAAGTTATATTTTTGGGACACCCTGTATATTGCAATAATAATTTAAAGATAAACCTCTAATTGATCTGATTCAAAGGTAAAACTTTTGCAAATCCAAGTACCTGCTTATTTTAACTGCTATGTTTGGTACCCAATAATGTGAATATCCCTACACATGCAAGTCTTCACCGACATTTCTTCTTTTTTTGAGAAAAATCATGTCTTATTGCGCTAAGTATAGATTTAAAAAGAAAATGGCTCGCGAAGATTATGTAAATCTGGCATCTTCATCGTCAATTGTTGACGGAACGGACAGGAACTGAGTTTCACTCAGAATTGGATTCAAACAAGGGTTCAAATAATCACTCCTATGCAGTAAAATCATTGATTTGATGTCAACATTGAAATCATTTCAAGAATATTATTTTGGATATTTCAATGTTGAAAAAATTTCGTATTCTGTATGGGCACTTGATTTGAAAATATTGAAATCATAGATTGATTGAAATAAAAGTCAATGTGTCATTTGGCAACATGGCATTGTATTAAATTTACCAACTTCATATTTGTTAGAATAGAATCTCTGGTCTTTAAATATTAAACATAACCTTTTAATCTTTCTTGAATGTTGTGTGTGCACAGTGCAAATATATTTATTTTCTTTGTGATTTTTATTAAATAAAGAAGGTAAGTATGATAACTATTTGATCATAAAAGTAATGATTAAACAGCTTTTACTGGACGTGTCCTTGTGTTGATATGTATGTGCTGCATTTCTTGTACGCATGCATTGAATTTAAAACTTTAAATTTCAATGATGTATGTATGTTTATAGGAGGCTATTAATGGACAAATTACAATCCTAAAACTGAATCCACATGATATGATTTCTCGGGTCCGTTGTAACTGTGATCAATATAATCATTTAAAAGTTCACAACCACAACTTTGTTCTTTTATTGGTCACAGTCGCAACAGATCTGTGAAATCGTGAATGATGTGGATTCAGCCTAATTGATATGTATGTATCGATAAGTACTAGATGTTAATTTTTAATTTAGATGCCGCCAAAAAAGGCAACGCCTGAGCAGTATAAACTGCTTGTGGACATGTTTGCTGAAAGCAAATGCTTGAGGTGGGGAAAGGGAACTCCAGGTGAAAAAAAGGAAGCATGGGAAGCCATCAGTGCTGCAGTTAATACTTTAGGAGTTGAGAAATCGTCAGATGGATGGAAAAAGGTGGTGTTTATAATTAAAGATAAATGCTATTATACATATTTTTTTAGGCCTTTATTGAGATGAAATCTCACATCAAATCAAAAATCCGAGCTTCAAAGCAGCTCAACCCAACTGAAAATAGATGTGCAGAAGTCACCGGATTGTTTATATCCTGCTCTGGAATTTCTGGGGTTCAGGAAATGGGAATGCCACCTGTTGGTGAGTTTCAATTATTTGAAATCTTAACATCAATAGACAATTTCTATCAAAGTTGACCCTAAAAAAAAGATAAAGGCTATCCTAGTTGATATTACAATTATTTTACAATTAATATTATTACTATATTTTTTTGAAAGTTTGTTCAATTCACTTTATTAGAGGTGTCTTTATTGTTATAGTTGATGCGATAGATACACAGGAACCCGAAGAGGGCCCTCAAGATGAGTCGGTCGAAATAAATCCACCTGACGGTAATGAGTTGCTGAGTAAGTATAGGTGGATACTTGTATATAACAAGGCTTGTAAATTTTAGTGAATCCGAATGCATGTGAGGTTGTTGAGGAAGAATTCGAGGAGGTAGAAACAGCCTCAAAAAAAAAACGTAAAACAACTCAAGGTAGGTATTTCTAGATTTATCTATTTCTTCTGTTAATTGAACGTTGCATCAATTACACATTCACGTTTGCAGTATTGCTCAATGAACATGTTGTATCTACAAACAGAGGGTTGCAGAATATAGCACTTGCGATTCAGTCAGTTGCAGATGCAATTAATAATATAGCTTTTGTGTTGGGTGGAACAACGGACGAGGAATATGAAGAACAGTAGAATTAATGTTACTGTGTAACTGTACAATGTAGCTTCCGAAATGTTTTGTTTTTTTACTTTTTTTTATTGAAAATGTATGTGTTAGTTTTTTGTGTATTGTTGATTATATGTATGTATATATATACAAATTGATGTAGTTTTCTTTTATAGCAATAAAAAAAACAAAAACTACACCACAACAGTACGAAATGTATATAAATTTTAAGAAATATAAATACGACAATGAAGAAAATGCTTTTAAAGCATTATGTGAAGAACTGAATGGGAAAAAAAAATTGCAACGCTCTGTTGAAAATTGGAAAAGGGTATATACCTGAGGTGTGTGCTTAAAATCACTTATATGATGTAAAATAGGTTTTTACTGTTTGGGAATCAAAAGTGAAAGCAAAAGCTAGGAGAAACTATTTGGAACAAGAGCGCACAGGAGGTGGAGTTCCTATCTTAGAAATTCTGGATGAACTTGAACTACAATTGTTATCCGTTTTAACAAAAATTTTAATATATGGGCATCCAAAGGTTGTAGAATTGGGATTTACAAAACCAAAGAAGACAAAGACGTGTCCCATTAAACTTTCTGTAGGAAAGAGATACAGACATTTGAGTAATGACAATTTGTGTATTTACTGTTTTATCAGATTGTTTTTAGGAAAATCCACTGATTTATACACCACATTGAAAAGCGGCTCAACAAAACTAAAAAATAGTTTACTCGCTATTCAAAAAAGTTTGCATGCTCTGCATGATGCGATTTTAAACCTATTTACTCTAGTTTTAAGTACATCTACATAATAAATGTTTATTATTCAATGGTTTATTATAGCTATATGCAGTAATTATCCACCACTCTGTTCCTCATATTACGGCCATAACGTAAAAAGTTTCTTTCGGCATGATCTACAGATCTACACCTACACCATCAATATTGTTATCAATGTTGCCTGCATCATGACAGTCATTAAACTCTTCTCCATTACCGTTACCTAAGAAAGAATGGTTTACTGATTACAAAAGTAAACAAAAATTTACCATTAATGTCATCAAGATATTCATTTCGAGTAATGCAAAGATTGTGCAATATGGCAGCCGAATAAATAATGTGTGCAGCGCGTTCGGGAGAATAATGCAATGTCCTGTGTTTAAGGCAGCATCGAAAGCGTTGTTTTAATACACCAATAGTCCTCTCCACAGTATTTCTAATATTAATATGGCGACGGTTGAATTGTCTTTCTGCATCGGTTAATGGATTTGCTATTGGAGTGAGTAGCCATGGTTCCAGTGGGTAACCTGAATCTCCTATAAATATTGAATTAACTGGCCAACTCTTTAACTAATAATTGTAATAAAACTGCCCCTTACCCAATAAATAAGTCGTTTGGTTTCTATTTCCAACATAATTATTTACCAAATGCCTTCTCACTAATGATGTTTGCCATATCGCCGAATCATGTACGGATCCAGGGAATCTGGCATTGATATTAGTTATTTTTAGCTGTGCATTACAAATCTGCAACTTAAAAAGTTCATATGGTCCCTATGTGATATTAAAAAAATTCTAAATATTTGTATTATCAGAACCTAGTGCATTAAATAACTCTATAAACAATGATTATTTCCAAAATTTTTTTTATATTAAAATAAAAGATTAAGAATATATACTATAACAGTATAACACTAATTAATAACCAGCATTATAATCAAAATGTTTACTCACTATCTGCACATTTAAACTATAATATTGCTTTCTGCAATAAAAAATAACCCCTGGCATTTCTGGGTGTTCTGTTTTTGGTGCTACTATGGCTATTTGGGTGCCATCAATGCACCCTATTATACCAGGAAATCCACCTATGCCAATAAACCTAAAAACAATTGTAAAAATAAGGAAATTTATCAATATAAATCATACAATTGCTTTTCCTGATTTTTTTCAGCTTCTCCTTCTGGAAATTGTATGGTATAACCCAATACTTCTACCATAACATCTGTTACTTCTGTGATGCATCTGCTCACAGAACTTTGATGCATATTCGTCAAATAATCTTGACCAATACCTTTTTGATAAGAGCCTTGGCTCAAAAAATGCAAAGTAGTAAAGAACTAAAATTTAACAAACCTTGTGATAAACAAACACAAATGATTTGTTTACCCTTAACCCCTTTGGAATGGATGTGTTACGTGCACAATCTCTCATGTGAGGTAGGAGTTGTGTGAGCACCCAATGTGCTAGTTCTCTCGAAACTCTAAATATGCCCCTAAAATGTTCCTCTGGCAGAGATAAAGGGTCACTAGTGTCTCTTAGATGTCTACGATGTAGATTAACATTTCGCCTATTAATTACAGAAAAATAGTAAGAACACTCTACAGAAAGTGTTGCTACCTGTTCCTATCCTCTTCTAATATTTCTACCAAAAAATTTAAGTCCATTTTTAATGTTTAACCACACTTTTTACTCATTTCAAGTATGTATAACGTGCTAGATTTTTCAATACGTTTGAAAAATTGATTTGATTTCAACCTTGACTTGAAAATTATTTCAATTTTTGCATTAGTGCATATAGATTCTTGTAATCTACAAGGTCACTTGGTGTGATTTCAATTTATTGAAACGTCTACTTTCAATAAATTGAAATGTGTGTCATACTGCATACCAAATATTGAAATTGCTGTCAAATGTCGTTTTTATGTCATAATTTCAACCTTGACTTAAGTCAAATGTGCATACTGCATAAGGCCGAATGTCAATCGCGAATGTATACTTGAAAATGAAATAGAACGTATGGATCAGTATAAAGATAATTTCTTGGAATTCATAAATGAGTGTGATGAAATGTACAATTCTGACGAAGTGATAAAAGAAGGATCAGCAGGGAAAAACGAACTTGGCCGTATAAATGCAATTAAGATACAACAAAATGATGCATCCATTAACACAAATAGTGCTTCCGATAACTTTTTAACTTTTTTAAAGCAATACGCCCGCCAATTTCAAGTTCCTCATGTTCAAATTAATTCACTTTTGAAAGCACTCAACGAACACTTCAATTTAAATTTACCTGTCGACGCAAGAACCATTTTGCAGACCGTTAGATATACAAATATAAAAGAAATTGGTAGTATCACAGGGAAGGACGGACAGTTTGTGTATCTCGGTATAGCTTCTGGATTATTTCCTTTTTTATCGAATGATGTCGTAAAATCTAAAATTGAAAATAATACTCTGAGACTTATGTTTAATATTGATGGTGTGCCTGTCAGCAAAAGTTCCAACATGCAATTCTGGCCTATTCTTGGAAAATTACACCTCCCGAACTTCAATGTTCACCCGTTTGCAGTTGCAGTTTTTTGTGGGCATTCCAAACCAAATTTGAGTAGCTTCATAGACAATTTTGTAGTGGAACTAACAACGTTACTCGCTGATGGGTTGTCACTAAATGGAATACTGTATAAAATAGATCTCTTTTGCATTCCGTGTGATGCCCCAGCCAGAGCATATGTGAAAGCGATAACTGGTCATGCTGGCACATACGGTTGTGAAAGATGTATGCAAAAGGGGAAAAACGTTCAACACCGTATGGTACCTATATAGTTCAACAAGTTCTCAACATCGAACTTAATCAGAGCTTTCGAAACCAGAAACAGAAAATGCATCATACTGGTATTAGTCCCCTAACACGGATAAAAGATTTAAATATGGTGCATGTATTTCCGTTGGACTACATGCACCTTTGCTGCATTGGAATCATGAACAAAATACTGCGTTTTTGGTTTAAAGTTTCTGGTAAATGCAAACTACCCTGGCGTACAAAAAATAAAGTCTCGGAATATTTACTGCACATACGTGAATTTTTGTTTTGTTTGAACGAGCTTGACCACTGGAAAGCGACCGAGTTAAGAATATTTATGTTATATGTGGGCCCCATTGTTCTGAAAGATGTTTTAGAATCTAAACTGTATCATCATTTCCTGCTATTTCATTGTGCCTTTCGAATTCTGTTATCAAAGAACGTTTCTGCTCAAGATGTAGATTTTGGTGTAGGTACTTTATGGAAAATTAACGATATCGTACAATGTGCACAGTCTTTTACATATTCCTGATGACGTCGATTATTTTCAGTCGTCTTTGGATGAAATCAGTTGCTTCGCTTTTGAAAGTTATTTGGGAAGAATGGTCAAAATGATACGAACACCAAACAAGCACTTGGCTCAAGTAGTTCGCAGATTATCGGAACATACGTCCTTGTTCTATGAAAGTAATAAAGTTCCTTTAAAAACTGAAATCAAACTCTCCAATTTTTGTGCATCTTCTGTAAATAGTAAGGACGGATTCGTCATAATCCGCAATGGAAGCATTTTAAAAATAACATTCATCAATGGAAATCAAATTCTTGGTTATGTATCTGAACAAACTGGCAGTTTTTTTACTTCACCATTTAATTCGTCTGCGGTTGGGGTATATACGTTCAAGAAAATAGGCCCTACAGAATCACGTATTATAGAAAACGAAATCGTTGCTAAAATGGTTGTGATCCAGGAAATCAATAAGCGATACTATGTGGCATTAGCAATGTTACATACAAGTAATAATTGATGATTCCAAATTTCGTCTAAAATTAAATACCGACCTATTTTCATATCCTTAATAACGTACTTAATCTTAAGAATTAAAGTATAATATACGTATGTTATATATTCAAACCTCGATTCAAACTATATTGCGGATTCAATAACTCATGCATGTAAATTTTGTATTCATCGTAAATGAAACACACATTTCTTCTTAGCATGTGGGACGTGGTAATTTGGAAGAATAAAAACAAGAATAAGGAAGAAATTGATTATGTGCCTTCTTGTTGGGAGACCGCGAACGAACTTTATAAATGGCCTCATAATTGTTCGACTCAGCTATTTTATATATATATATATATATATATATATATATATATATATATATATATATATATATATATATAAAGAATATAGTGCTACAGTACAAAAACCAAATCTGGCGACTTTGAAGGATGCAAAATATTATTGTGAAAAGGGTTTAACTCAATCTAATATTGAATCAACGGAAGGTGAAGAGGACATGAGCGGTTATGAAGAGGAGGGTAGTGTATTACATTCATCAGATGAAGAAGTAACTTCTAGTAACTTTCAGTAAATTTTTTTAAAAACAAATTTTGTAGATTACACAGGCCCTAATCATTTTGAGAAAAACTTACAAACTGCACCCGCACTTGCTGTTGAAAAACGGAAAGCATCACACATTGGTGGGTAATAATTCCGTTTAAGATTTTGCAGTGTAGTTTAACCAGAAATTGTACTGGCATTTTTAGATGTCACGGCTTCTCAACAAGCTATGCCGTCATCAACTCGTTCGGCTCAGAGTGGTGTTGATATGACATCTCTTACACGTATGTATTGAACTTTAGGCCGAAGAACCAATTACTTACATATTTCTTCTACCGTTTTAGCATTCCAAAAAGTTCTCCTGCAAAAATGTAACACGCTCCAGTATGATGTCAATCAGCTAAGACGTGACATTCAAGATATTAAGTTGCAGTTAGACAGAATTGCTGATACCACTCCCAGGAATGGAGGTACTGTTTACTGTGATCCCACAGAAACATATTTATGAAGAGGCCGACGAATTCGCACGAAACGGAAGCAACTTAACAAATGTAGATATGATACCCGTTCTATCTGAAGATTTTAAATATAGGATAAAGATTAATATCAATGACTTGTGGCAAACGAAATGGCATTCTGAAAATACTCAACTGAGGCACATTAAACCGTCCATTAAGCCATGGAAACCTAGATTACTTACAAGGCGACAATCTACAGCGCTAACGAGGGCAAGAATAGGCCATACTAACTTACCCATCTCCATCTTCTAGGGAAGGTAGGAGTAAATGAGTGCGTGCGATGCGGAGTGAATGTGTCGATGTATCATATATTGATTGAGTGCCGCCAGACCGAAAGGCTGAGAAGAGAGCTAAATCTACCTAATAACCTAAAAAGTATATTTGAAGATACAACTGATGCTGTCAATAGATTACTGTTACTTCTAAGTAGAACTGGTATTTTAAGGAAACTATAATTACTACAGAAAACACTTATTAAATAATAGCTAATAGCCAAAGCAGCTGATGCTAAATAAATAAATAAATAAATAAATAAAAAGTATGCCGGCTGCAAATGATGAAGAATTGATCGCTCTTAATAATGTGGTATCTGAATCTGAGGAAAATATGAACGCGCTGGTAAGTGTTAAGGCTGATTTAGAACCGATAAATATGATAATTTTGAGATACTAGCTTTTTTCATATTTTTATTTATGGGTGAAATTTCAGCCACTATAAACAATAGTAAATCAATTCCAAATACAGACGCAATGTGTAAGTCAATAGTTTTTATTTTTTAACATTATTTGAATGATAGTGTGTGCCATTTTAACTTCGTCAGAAATTAATCAATGATTTTGATTTGTTTGCATAATTTTTTCAACATTTTAAACGATTTTTTGGGTTTTTAAGCAACACGTATATAACAGATAAAACTTCTAAAGAGACTAGTGTATTGTAGGAGACATTTAACCAATAAAAATATCAAAACGTGTGATGCATTGGAAATAGATAATAGTAATTGTACGTTCTAACAGACACCTTTACTTCTATAAACTTTTTATATACAGGGAGATCAATAATCATATGCTGCGCCGCTCTTATAAAATATCACATTAGTAATCATTTGCCGCAACCAGGTATACAGGGTGATTCCTATAGTACCTGCCACCGTTTGGGAGCGTATAGGGGGTGCCTAGGGGAGTATTTTGATATAGGACACTTGGGGTCGGAAATCTAAAATAAGGGCGCCAGAACCAAATTTATCTTCTGGAATTTCACGCCTGTATGTAGGCAACCCAACCGACCGACGTTTCGCGCGGAGCGATGCAGAGCGAGTTAGCGCGAGGAAGCGACATGGGAGGGAAGGAGGGAAAACGACAGTCAAAAGCAATAACGTTTACAAGTGTTCAACGTGGCCACCGTTGTTCTCAATGCACTTCCTACATCTAGCCAACTATTATTATACTATTGCCATAGTGTTTATTCACTTGATACGCGTCGTTGCAGACGGGATTTCGTGGGTTTAAACAAAATTCTGATCAAGTGTCAGCCACACATCGCCGCCTGAGATCGCTCCGTGTGCACCGCCGGCCGGTTGGGTTGCCTACCTACAGGCGCGAAATTCCAGAAGGTAAATTTGGCTCTGGCACCCTTATTTTAGATTTCCGACCCCAAGTGTCCTATATCAAAATACTCCCCTACGCACCACCTACACGCTCCCAAACGGTGGCAGGTACTATAGGAATCACCCTGTATGTGTACCAATACAAAACATAACCTATAATTTTACAAACCAAAACCATGATTTGTGATTCTTATTCGAATACTTTCGTCCTTTTCAAAACGGCTTTTTTCAAGACTACCAGTTTCTTTCGAATATTTACAAGGTGGGTAAATTACTTGTAAATTACAAACAAACGTTTTTTTAGTTGTAGCGTGTAATAGGCAATAGGTTTACTCCGACAAGCATTTTACTTTAGAAGAGAATAAGATGCGTTTGCTGTCCTGTTTCCGTAATGGGACTAAAGACGAAAGTGGAGTTTGGGAGTACTCGATACGTTTGTGTATACAGGAGTTTCGATAAACGATTGTCAACCATGATGAG